TGGGCAACTGAGGCTGCCTGTCTACTGGGGGATGGCAGCTGCAGGGAACCCTACAGAGCAAGCCCAGTCAGAGACCAGACATGGAAGCCACCAACCCCATAAGGCCAGTGCCTAGAAACTGGCTGGATCACTTCAACTGTCAAAGACAGAGCCCACCCAGAGACAAGGGCAGAGGGCACAGACCCAGCAAAGCCAAAGAATCTGTTGCCGTCTGTAAGCTGCCACACCCTCTGCTTAAGAAACCAGTTTACCTTTCTTTAATCTGCAGTTTCCTAAAATGACTTTATCCATGGAATCATCTTTCAGCTTCTTCTGTGACTCACATGTTTTATCACAGAGTTCTGTGAAATATTGATCAGAGAAGCCCAAACCCAAGATATTGCTTAAAAGTTCCTTCCTGTTCAAAAATGCTGTTAATCTATGTTGCGTTTCTAGAATCACAGGTCCGGTTTCTTCCCAAGAAACACTTCTTGGGAAGCCCTGAGTTAGGGATATTCAAGAAGGCCATGTCTTCTTCCTCTGGTCTTTCAAAAGCTGGAAGCAACCTTAGTTGAATTTTTTTTCACCTCTCCTCTGTTTGAGGGTTGGTATGCATTGTTTGTCGTAATTATATTGGCACGTGTATTATTAAAAGGTCCCTCAAAACCCATACCATGTGCTCAGGAGCCTTCTTTCATGGAACTATTAGGCACATCGAAGGCTGTGGACCTGATAAGCCTGAGAGAGGAACTTTCCTGAACCACAGAGCACTTCAAAACTGCTCAACTAAGTGGAGCATAAGCATCTAGATAAACACATGAATCAGCCTCCTAATTGCCCCGTTAGCTTTCTCACCACCGCCACCCAGTTGTCTCTCTCCAGACCTCTTAGCCTATCTGCTGGATCTCAGTCTTCTCAGCCTGAGCCTGGGAGGTGGGGGAGAAGGTAACTGTTTAAAGGAAGCCAGGTGCAGGGCTGGGCAGCCTCTCTGTTCTCTCAGCTCTCCATATCTTACTGAACACGGCAGTCACCAGACAATTGGTCCAACCCTGTGATCTGCAGGTGTTTTGAAACATCTAAATGGGCTGGTCGTGGTGGCTTGCACCTGTAATCTCAGAACTTTGGGAGGCCAAGGCGGGCAGATCACCGAAGTCAGGAGTTCTAGACCAGCCTGGCCAATATGGCAAAACCCCATCTCTACTAAAAAAAAAAAAAAAAATAGCTGGGCATGGTGGCAGCGTGCCTCTAATCCCATCTACTTGGGAGGCTGAGGCAGCTGTGGGGAACCACACACCTACTGGGGTCAAGCTGCTTGACCCCAGTAGGTGGAGGTTGCAGAGAGCTGAAATCACACCACTGCACTCCAGCTTGGGTGACAGAGCAAGACTCCATCTCAAAAAAAAAAAAAAAAAAAAAAATTAGCTGGGCAAGGTGGTAGGCACCTGTAATCCCAGCTACTTGGGAAGCTGAGGCAGGAGAATTGCTTGAACCTGGGAGATGGAGATTGAGGTGAACCAAGATTGCCCCACTGCACTCCAGCCTGGGCGACAGAGTGAGATTCTGTCTCTGAAAAAGAAAGAGAGAGAGAGAGAGAGAAAGAGAGAGAAGGAGGGAGGGAAGGAGGGAGGGAGGGTGGGAGGAAGGAAAGGAAAGGAAAGGAAGGGAGGGGAAACATCTAAACGGTGTGACTGGAATTCAGCTCAGTCCAGGAGGCAGAACCTATGGGAGTTTGAGGGAGGAAGAAAAATAGAAAAGACACCATTTCCTTAAGAAGAAATATTTGCCTAACAGGATGGTGGAGGGTCCTGTGAATCTTGCACTTTTTAAAGAAACGTCTTGACATTGATGGAGATTTCTTGAAACTGAATTTTTCATTTCCCCGTTTTGCTTTCTGTGAGGTGACGGCAGCTGTCACTAACCTGACATCAACTGTGACGCTGCTCGTCAGGTTATGTGTCAGCTCGGGTTCCAGCCCAGTTTCCCAGCTACTGCAGTGCCACGATCCTGTGTACAGCCCTTTTCAGGACTGATCATTTGGCCCATTACGCATCACTGTGTTTGCAATAAAAATATTTACCCAAGCCGGGCCACGGTGGTTGCTGCTTGAAGCCTCGGCAGCTTGACTCATCACGTCTCCACCTGTTCTTTCTCAGAGTTAAGGATCTGGTAGCAGTTTTCTGCCTAGAGTGATATTTCCTACAGTGTTAGGGAACCTTTCCCTGACTGAGTTCCCACTTGCGTTATCTGATTTGCTTCTCCAGTACTTTTATTTATTGCATTCAGGCATGTGAATTTGGAAGCTGCTGAAATATAAATTGGGTGGATTAAGAGTTTTCTTTTAAAACCCTTTCTACTATCTTATTTGGATTGTGCAGGTGTGTGTGTGTGTGTGTGTGTGTGTGAGAGAGAGAGAGAGAGAGAGAGAGGAGAGAGAGAGAAAGAGAGATGGTAAATCCATACACCTTCAAAGGCAAATCCGCACATCTTTTTAATGCCAGAAATATTTTTTAAATAGGCTAATTAAAATAGCAAACCTAAGTAGACCTCCTACTGCTGGTCACTGCTGTCAGGTACTTTGCCTAAAACCATATAATGTTCACTCTCTCTGCCTTTTTATTGGCAAAGGAGAAAGATTAATTGGCCCCATCTCCGTCTCACATTGTAATTACTGTTCTCCCTGTGATATCACCTCTAACACATGAGGAACATTTTGACTTCATTCGAACTGCAGATCGAGCTCAACTCTTCAACACTGGAATAAATTTACACAAAAATTACTCTATAGACCTCACAAGTGCCTCATCTGTCCCAGGGAAAGGCAAACAAGGTTGAATAAGACCTTGGCAACATGCTGCTTGCCCAGAAAGAGTTTGTGATTCAAGAAGGCAAATAAAACATAGGCACAAAAGGGAAAAAAATGATAATACAAGAGAAAACATGATCTTTGCATAAGAGAAATGCCAAGTGTCATGAGATTTCCAGGGAGGCAGGAACATCTGAAATCAGGTCTTCTAGGAAGAGGTGACACTTGGTTTAGGATAGCAGTAGGATTTCAATAGGAACTGCTGGGAGAACAGTAGCATGAGATAAACTTTCCGAGGTGTGTCAGAGTCCGATTATGGAAGACAAAGGGACCCACACATACTGACTACCTACAGTAATAGCCGAGGCCTCGGCACAGGTCAGTTAAGGATCTGGAATTGGGCTGGGTGCTTAGCTTCTCTGAGTCCAAGTTTCCTGATCTTAGAAAACAGAGGAATAAGGCCAGGTGCAGTGACTCATGCCTGTAATCCCACCGCTTGGGGAGGTCAAGGTGGGCGGTCACTCGAGGCCAGGAGTTCAAGACCAGACTGGCCAACATAGCGAAACCTCATCTGTACTAAAAATACAAAAATTAGCCACAAGTGTGGTGGTATATGACTGTAGTCTCAGCTACTCAGGAGGCCGAAGCAGGTGGATCACTTGAACCCAGGAGGCAGAGGTTGCAGTGAGCCAAGATCATGCCACTGCACTCTAGCCTGGGCAACAGAGAGAGACTCTGTCTCAAAAAAAAAAAAACAAAAACAAGAAAGAAAAAGAAAATAGAGGAATAGTAGAACATGGTTATAAAGATTAAATGAGGTGTTGCATTTTAAAAAGTCTAACATTGCAATAAACTTTCACTAAATGAAGGCTATTTTAATTTTATGACAATTCTCAATAAGTTCATAAGTCTTATTTACATTTGGGGAAGCTGAACCAAAGAGAAGTTTAGAAACTTGTCCAAGGCCACGTATCTAACTTTTGGCAAAAGCAGAACTTGGAACCCTTGTGTCTCCTATTCACTCATTTTTGCTCTTTCCACTGCAATGCATTGTCTCCAGGCAAGAAAAGTTTGAAGGTTATTTTGTAAGCTAGAGGGAGCAATTAGAGTCATTTGAACAAGGAAATAACATCATCAGAAATTGCTGTATGAGCATTTGTCCTGCAACATCATGAAATGGGATAGATTTTTATTTTTTATTATTATATTTTATTATTATTATTTTTTGAGATGGAGTCTCACTCTGTTGCCCAGGCTGGAGTGTAATGGCGTGATCTCAGCTCGCTACAACTTCTGGCTCCTGGTCTCAAGCAATTCTCCTGCCTCAGCCTCCCGAGTAGCTGGGATTATAGGCGCCCACTACCACGTCTGGCTAATTTTTCTGTTTTTTAGTAGAGATGGGGAACTATGTTGGCCAGGCTGGTCTTGAACTCCTGACCTCAGGTGATCTGCCTGCCTTGGCCTCCCAAAGTGCTGAGATTACAGGTATGAGTCACCATGCCCGGCCAAGATGGGACAGATTAGAGCAGTGGTCCCCAACCTTTTTGGCACCAGGGACTTGTTTCATGGAAGACAATTTTTCCACTGACTGGGTGGGGGCAGGGGGTGGGATGCAGTGGGGACGGTTTCAGGATAAAACTGTTCCACTTCAGATCATCAGGCATTAGTTAGGCCCTCGGAAAGAGCATGCAGCTTAGATCTCTCGCATGCACAGTTCACAATAGAGTTCACACTCCTATGAGGATCTAATGCCACCCTGATCTGACAGGAGGTGGAGCTCCGATGGGAATGCTTGCTCCAAGGCAGCTCATCTCCTTCCGTGAGGTTCCATTCGCAACAGGCCACAGACCAGTCCAGGTCCTCAGCCCTGGGGTTGGGGACCCCTGGTTAGAGGAGACAAGAGGCTGCAGGCAGAGAAAAATTTAGGCAGTGTGTGCGGTATTCCCATAAATTGGCCCAAGTCCTCAGTGAGAGAGGCATTTCTCTGTGAATGGAAACTAGGGCAAAGATTCAGTAGCCACCATGACACCTGAATATAAATGACATGTTTGCAAAAAAAAGAAACACATGTTCCAGCTTCAAAAGGCATGGGGGCAAGGCATCTAGCCTCGAAAGATGTGTGGCACAGGTTTGAGTCAGGGAAGAAGGATGAGTTTGGGTTTAGACATAATGAGCTTCATCAGGCAACTGGAAACCTGGGTCAGGGCCCAGAGACTGGTCAAGCCAGGAACATCTGGGTTAGAGTTGACGCTGGGAGAGCCAGTGACTTCACCAAGAAGGGGAAGGTCTTGGAGGAAACAGAAAAGGCGAGGAAGAGGAAGAGGAGAGGACCGGGGAGAGTGTACTGTTCTTTGTGGAAGTGGAGGAAAGGAGTTTTTAAAAGAGACATAGTGGATAAGAGAGGGCTGGCCAGCAGAGTTCAACACAGGGTATTTCAAAGAGGATAAAGGCCTTTGAATTTGCCCTCGAAGAAGAAGTCAGAATGGGCAGGGAGCTAGAGGAGACACATCTAAATTCCTTGAGGGTCCAAACTAAAGAGTGTGGTGGCTCCCAGACATCTGGAGTCCTGAGTTTAGTGGAGAGTGAACCAGACATTCTGAGAGTTCCTTAGGGATTGGAGTCAGTTTCTTCTTTTGATGCTAGATAACAGTTTGCAGTCGGGGGTGGCTCCACCAGACGCTAAACCCACAAAATCACTGGAGCTCATGCAGGCCCCACCATGTGAATTGGCATCCTGGATTATTTATGAAAGTTCAGAGAAATGTTTTTGAAAGTTCAGCTCTTCTCTTATCCTACAGTCTGCACCAATTTGTGACTTTTGTAGAGTTACTAAATGAAGTTAGCCACTTTGCCAACTAGCCCTCCCTTGGGATAAATCCTGATAATAAAGTGGATCCTCTGAGAGAGCAATTCCTCTGCCCTCAGTGAAATATTTTTGCTTCTGATTCTTACTAATATTAAATTCTGGAATTATCATTGATTTTCAGGCATTTTTATTCTTACTGACAACAACAAAATGTCAACTTTAACTTAAGCTGATATTTAGGTGGAACTTAACCTCACGTTACTATACTTACTTATAAAACTACTCTTATTAATAATGTCCAGCACTCCTCTCTAAAAACAAGCAAACAATAGTTAATCCAGGCAAATGATTGTGAAGACATTGTATTAGGGCTTTCTTACATTGCTATTTAAAAAAAGAAACAAACAAACAAAAACCCTGAGCCTGGGTAATTTATAAAGGAAAGAGGATTAATTGACTCACAGCATCTGCAGGAAGCATGATGCTGGCATCTGCTCAGCTTCTAGGAAGGCCTCGGGATGCTTCCAATCATGGTGGAAGGTAAAGAGGGAGCAGGTGTCTCATGCAGCAGGAGCAGGAGCAAGGAGTTGGGAGTAGGTGCTACACACTTAAAAGACAAGATCTCATGAGAACTCACTCACTATCAAAAAGACAGCACCAAGGAGATGGCGCTTAATCATTCATTAGATATCTGCCTTTTGATCAAATGTGGTGGCTCATGCCTATAATCACAGCACTTGGGAGGCCGAGACAGATGGATTGTTTGAGCTCAGGAGTTTGAGACCAGCCTGGGCAACATGGTGAAACCCTGTCTCTACAAAACATACGAAAATTAGCCAGACATGGTGATATGTGACTTTGGTTCCAGCTACTTGGGAGGTTCAAGTGGGAGGATCGCTTGCATCTGGAAGGTCAAGGCTGTAGTGAGCCATGATCCCACCACTGCACTCCAGCCTGGGCAACAGAATGAAACCCTGTCTCAAAAAAAAAAAAAAAGATAAAAGAAATATGCCCCCATGATATAGTCACCTCCCACCAGGCCTCACCCACCTTCAGAATTGAGGATAACATTTTTACATGAGGTTTGGGCAGGAACACACAGCCAAACTGTAGAAACATTTTGGGAGTAGAGAAGATTGCGTTAGAAACACCCATGTAAGGGCTTTAATATTGAACACCAGAAGATGATACAACTCTTTAGAAGGGAAATTAAACTTGTTAAAATTCTGGAACTACCGGTAAGACTTTCTTACTACATGAAAACATTTTAATATCCTAAATTCTTTAGTAAACTTTGTAAATGCTTACTACAATGTCTAGAAGTCATAAATATCTTTCTTTGCTTATATTTTTCATAGTTTGGCACCAAAATTCCTTCATGCCAACACTGAAAGTTATTAATAGGGACTTATAAAACAAGGCAAGACATTACAATTCTGTCAAATGCTTAGGTTGTGAGCTTGTTTAGAGGAAGGAAGGGGAAAAACGACTTATTTCTAACAAAAATTGAGAACAGGGCATTTGAGTACTTTATAGACTCTGGGGGTGGGGAGGGAGCTATAGAAATAAATTCAGCAAATGCTTTTGATCTGCTGACTGTCCTCGAAAATAGTGGCAAAAGAAAGCCAACTTTCCCTGATGCCCTCGAGATGTTGGATGAATTCAGTCAACTCAAACCAACTGTAGCACAGTTTCAAGAGTGTGCTAGGTGTAGCATTCCCCACTGGGAACGTCTGTAGAATTGACTATGGTTTGAGTAGATGTGCCAAAAACTGGGGGCTGTGCCACCATGAATCTAGCCCTGGATTTCTCTTTTTTTTTTTTTAGGCAGAGTTTCACTCTTATTGCCCAAGCTGGAGTGCAATGGCATCATCTCGGCTCACTGCAACTTCCACCTCCCAGGTTCAAACGATTCTCCTGCCTCAGCCTCCCAAGTAGCTGGGATTACAGGTACACACCACCACACCTGGCTAATTTTTTTTGTATTTTTAGTAGAAATGCGGTTTCACCGTATTAGGCTGGTCTCAAACTCCTGACCTCAGGTGATCCACCTGCCTCAGCCTCCCAAAGTGCTGAGTTTACAGGTGTGAACCACCACACTCGGCCAGATTTCTCATTTATGATAGAATGTGCCTCTCCCATGTGCAAAAAGAGAAGTTGGGACCCAGTTGCAACTTTAAAGCATGTCAGTTAGCTAGTCGACTGCAGAGATTTGAAGAGTGAGAAAGAGATTGGTAGCATTGACTTGGGATTTTTCTGTGGCTGGTATCGTACAAGGGGTGCCACTCTTCCGCCAGGTGGCATTGGCAGAAATCAAGCTAAGAAATGCTGGGGGTGATGATGAGCTTGATTTTAGACTACTTACCACTCATTGCTGAGTAGGATGTGCCTTCCTCCCAGGCACTTCAAGTAGAGAGGATCCCAACACAGGAAAATTGTAGTATCGTGGACAAGCTCTAAGTTCGTTCCCAGAAATATATGTAAAACTGGGAGTAATGTGTCTCTTCATCTGAAAGTGTTCAGGCCAAAAATAAATAGAGTCTTATTCCTGACTAGTTTCACTGTAGTATAATTTAAATAATTCAATTTTATGTGCTGACCTTATGCCATAATTCCTACTTGGTCATAATGGTTCTATCTCTATTAATAAAGTGATTATACCCCAAAGGATAGTTGAGTTTTACTTCATTCCTTCTGATCATGGAGAAAAGAAGGTATAATTCTACTGCATCTTCAGGCATGTTATCAAATTTTTTATTGTTAAAGTATAGTTCACAATACTTAGGGAAAGAGCTTGTATTGATAGCTAGAATCTATTTCTAACACTTTGGTTAAGTTGGCCTTTAGGCAAGCCACTTAAATTCTGTATGCTTAGCTTCCCTGTCCAGATAAATAGACAAGAGATCTGCAGCCTTATCAAACTAGCGATGTGTTTGATATGTAGAAGCCACGATGTAGAAATCCTTAGACTATCTTTTTTTTTTTTTTTTTTAAACAAAGTCTGGCTCTGTCACCCAGGCTGGAGTGCAGTGGTGTGAGCTCGGCTCTGAAACCTCTACCTCCCAGGTTCAAGCGATTCTCCTGAATAGCTGGGATTACAGGTGTGCACTACCACGCCCAGCTAATTTTTGTATTTTTAGTAGGGACAGGGTTTCTCCATGTTGATCAGGCCAGTCTCAAACTCCTGACCTCAAGTGATCCACTAGCCTTGACCTCCCAAAGTGCCGGGATTACAGGCATGAGCCACCACGCCTTGCCCACTTAGGCCATCTTGAAAGAGAAATGTTACCTGCAGCTGATATTGACTGTGAACAACCCTTCACCCTTCTTAGTCAACAGCTAGTCTTGCTATCTGTCCTGTCTTTTCTTTTTTCTTTTTAGAGGCAGTCTTTTTTTTTTTTTTTTTAATTTATTTCCATAGGTTTGAGGGGAATAGGTGGTATCTTGTTCCATGAAGTTCTTTGTGGGAATTTGGTGCACCAATCACTAGAGCAGTACACGCTGAACCCAATTTATGGTCCTTTATCCCTCACCCTCCTCCCACCCTTTACCCCAAGTCCCCAAAGTCAATTGTGTCATTCTCTTTTTTTTTTTTCCACTAGAAAAAAACACAGAGCTTTATTGTTCTCAACACCAGCGGCAGCGGTCTCTGTAGGACAGGGGAGTGAGTTCTGTTGATCGACAGGGATAGGTGGCTCCTGCTTGCCGGCGATGCGCAGGTTCTGCAGGACCACAATGACTGAGCCCCCGCACAGGAACATCTTGGAGATGTAGCGGTCTTTGTTGACCGGCTTGGACTTCTTCTTGCCCTTGCTGCTCTTGGGTACCTCAGTCCACATCTCCTTCACGTTCTCCAGCACCATGTTGCAGTGCCTATCGAAGGCCTTCACGCGGCCCAGGAGTTTCTTATTGTTGCGGCAGTTGATGAGCACTTGGGTGTTGTTCTTGACGGACTGAGTCAGCACAGAGAGTGGCCCCGTGTTAAATTCCTCCTCCTCCTCCCGCTTCTGCAGCTCCTCCGGGGTCATCTCACTCTTGGGCTTGTTGAGGAGGCTCATGTTGGTCACTAAGCTCTGGTTCACTCCAGTTTCCTCCGCGTTGCTGCTGCCTGAGGAGAGAGAGAGGTGGGACCCATTGTGTCATTCTTATGCCTTTGCATCCTCATAGCTTAGCTCCCTCTAATGAGTGAGAACATACAATGTTTAGTTTTCCATTCCTGAGTTACTCCAGTTAGAATAACAGTCTCCAGTTCCAGCCAGGTTGCTGCAAATGCCATTATTTCATTCCTTTTTATGGCTGAGTAGCATTCTGTAGTGTGTGTGTGTATATATATATATATATATATATATATATATATATATATCACAGTTTCTTTATCCACTCATTGATTGATGGACATTTGGGCTGGTTCCATATTTTTGCAATTTCAAATTATGTGGCTATAACTGTGTCACCCAGGCTGGAGTGGCACAATCTTAGTTCACCGCAACGTTCCCCTCCCAGATTCTAGCAATTCTCATGCCTTCTCCTCCCAAGCAGCTGGGATTACAGGCATGCACTACCACACCCAGCAATTTTTGTATTTTTAGTAGAGACGGGATTTCACTGTGTTGGGCAGGCTGGTCTCGAACTCCCAACCTCAGGTGATCTGCCCACCTCGGCCTCCCAAAGTGCTAGGATTACAGGCAGGAGCCATTAGGCCCAGCCCTATGTGTCCCTTCTTTGAGGTCTTTTCTTAACCAGAGGTAAGACCGCTATGAACCACAAAAACTTGTATTTACTATGGCCTCTCTCAGTCTTCCCAGTCAAATCAAGGTTGCCAGTGATTCATCTGAGCCTCAGGAAGAAAAAAAAAAAAAAAACAGATCTTTTTGGCAGCACTTCATTTTTTTAAAAATTCAAGTATTAGGCCGGGCGCGGTGGCTGAAGCCTGTAATCCCAGCACTTTGGGAGGCCGAGGCGGGTGGATCACGAGGTCAAGAGATAGAGACCGTCGTGGCCAACATGGTGAAACCCCGTCTCTACTAAAAATACAAAAAAATAGCTGGGCATGGTGGCGCGTGCCTGTAATCCCAGCTACTCAGGAGGCTGAGGCAGGAGAATTGCCTGAACCCAGGAGGCGGAGGTTGCGGTGAGCCGAGATCGCGCCATTGCACTCCAGCCTGGGTAACAAGAGTGAAACTCCATCTCAAAAAAAAAAAAAAAATTCAAGTATTAAAATGTTTTCATGTTTCACTATATTTAAGGAAAGTAAATGTGATGTGCAAATTCTCAAATCGATAAAATGATCAAGAAATGCCAAGTTTTGGAAATAATGCATTTAGTCAAAAGTAAGAGGTTTCAATTGATGGTGAGCACAGTTTTGAGGGACACAGAGTATTTGAAGCATGTAAAAGTGCCAATGCCTCAGTTATAAGAGAATGTGATAGACTCATTTATGGAGTAGGAAACATTTTGATAGCGTACTACAAACCTAATCAGAGAGATGAATCCATATGTCTCAGAATCAAGCAGTAGTTTGAGCAAAAGAAAAAAAAATTTTTAAGACAGATTCTCGCTCTTTTATCCAGGCTGGAGTGCAGTGGTGCGATCTTGGCTCACTGCAGCCTCCGCCTCCTGCGTTCAAGTGATTCTTCCGACCCAGCCTCCCAAGTAGCTGGGACTACATGCGTATGCCATCATGCCCAGCTAATTTTCGTAAATTAAAAAAATTTTTTGAGATGGACTCCTGCTTTGTCATCTAGGCTGGAGTGCAGCGTCATGATCTTGGCTCACTGCAACCTCTGCCTTCCAGGTTCTAACAATTCTCCTGCCTCAGTCTCCTGAGTAGCTGGGACTACGGTCACACACCACCATGCCTGGCTAATTTTTGTATTTTTTAGTAGAAACAGGGTTTTACTATTTTGGCCAGGCTGGTCTTGAACTCCTGGCCTCAAGTGTTCCACCCCCTTCACTTTCCTGAAGTGCTGGGATTCCAGGCACAAGCCGCTGTGCCCAGCCTAGAACCAATTCTCTTCTAACCAGATAACATGTAGACATTTTTAGCACCACCAAAGTAGTGTTTCACCACTTCCAAAAATGAACTCGTTGGCTTGATGGCAACAGACAAGAGAAAACTTAAAAAACCTATTCAGAAGCATCAAAGAATTGTGCAGAAAAGTCAATGAAGGAGGCAAGGGAATTTTTCTCTTACTGCAGTTACCATTCGGTGGATTTCTAGATCACCCAGGCACAGTAAATCCACGTAACTATTTTCTAGAGATGACTCTAATTTTAAACACAGTTCCAAGGCCCTTGGATCAATGAAAAATGCTAATTTGGAGGTAATATTTTCTGTCCATTATCATTGAGTTCATATTTTTAGAAAATTCAACCAGTTCTGCCTATGAAGAAAAGCCTTCAAAAAGGAACATTTCAGGCTGGGCACGGCAGCTCACACCTGTAATCCCAGCAGTTTGGGAGGCCGAGGCAGGCAGATCACCTGACGTCAGGAGTTCAAGATCAGCTTGGCCCACATGGCAAAACCCCATCTCTATTAAAAAATACAAAAATTAGGCCGGGCGCGGTGGCTCAAGCTTGTAATCCCAGCACTTTGGGAGGCCGAGGCGGGTGGATCACGAGGTCGAGAGATCGAGACCATCCTGGTCAACATGGTGAAACCCCGTCTCTACTAAAAATACAAAACATTAGCTGGGCATGGTGGCACGTGCCTGTAATCCCAGCTACTCAGGAGGCTGAGGCAGGAGAATTGCCTGAACCCAGGAGGCGGAGGTTGCGGTGAGCCGAGATCGCGCCATTGCACTCCAGCCTGGGTAACAAGAGTGAAACTCCGTCTAAAAAAAAAAAAAAAAAAATACAAAAATTAGTCGAGCATGTTGGCAGGTGCCTGTAATCCCAGCTACTTGGGAGGCTGAGGCAGGGAGAATTGCTTGAACCTGGGATGTAGAAGGTGCAGTGAGCCAAGATTGTGCTGCTGCACTCCAGCCTGGGCAGCAGAGTGAGACTCCATCTCAAAAAAAAAAAAAAAAAAAGGAACGTTTCTGACTTAGTTTTAGTTTTTAATTTGATTGCTGGCCTTCCACATTCACTAAGTATTTGTGTTAGAACAAATACTTCCACATTCACTAAGTATTTGTGTTAGAAAAAAAGCTTTGCTTTCTAATTTATTTTTGAGACTACTTTTGGTGTTTTTAAGGTTATGAAATAGGTTTCTTACAAATAGAATCTCCATTTATAACAGGGTGCCTGCAAGAAATAAGAATAATTTAACTTGTTACTAGCTTGGTAACAAATTAGGCTGTGGAGGATTGTTTGTCTTTATTTAGTGAATCTGGAACCAAGAATTGTTGCATTCACTTCTTCCAATTCTTGTAACAACAAACATGTAGAACTTTTCATTCTAATAACACGAGAAGGGTAGAAAGAGCAGAACTGTTGGGTAGTCAGAGAAAATGGCCTTTGCTGAATCAAGGACTTTCCAAGAATGTGTCTGGAAAATTCCTTTCCTCAGATCAGCTTAGCAAGTGACCCATGTGGCTGCTCCTTTGGCAGATACCCTTCATCAACAGTTTAGTATCACTCTGAGGGCAGAGCTGGCTAAGAAGTGACCCACACCGTCCGTCTAGGAGAAGTTGGGTGATAGACTAGGCCATGTTCCCCAACAGAGGGCACAGTGCCTTCTGCATAGCACTGTGGGGGCTGCATATGCTACATGGCATGGTGTACTTTACCTCATCTGCCCATACTGTCACCAGCTCCCTTTCTCATTCACCAACCCAGAGAACCATTTTCCAGCCTGCTTGATATGGTTTGGCTGTGTCCCTACCCAAATCTCATCTTGAAGTGTGGCTCCCATAATCATGGTAGGGACCTGGTGGGAGGTAATTGAATGACAGGGGCAGCTTTTTCTGTTGGTTATTGTGATAGTGAGTAAGTCTTTTGAGATCTGATGGTTTTATAAAGGGCAATTACCCTGCACCCACTCTCTTGCCTGCCACCATGTAAGATGTGCCTTTGACCCTCCTTTGCTTTATGCCATGATTGTGAGTGTGAGTCCATTAAAACGCTTTCCTTTATAAACTACCCAGTCTCAGGTATGTCCTTATAGCAGTGTGAGAAGAGACTAATACACTGCTCATATTCAGACTCCTCATTTTCATTCCTTTGCTTTATAAGAATAACATGCCTCATTTAATTTTTCATCCAGGATTCATCCTGCAGGCAGATGAATACAGAGCCTGTGCCTAGTGTTGCCAAACAGGTCAGTCACAAATTTGGGCACAGTCATAATTATCTAATGAGACAGGTTTATCCCAGTTCTCCCAGCCCTGCTGAAGAGTGATTGACCCTAGTTGGAATAAGGCCATTTTTTCCCTTTGATATAGCTTATCCAGGTGGCCACTACTTAGCAGATTTTAAGATTCAGTGAGGCCCAGTGCAGTGGCTCACACCTGTAATCCCAGCACTTTGGGAGGCCGAGGCATGTGGATCACCTGAGGTCCGGAGTTTGAGACCAGCCTGGCCAACATGGTGAAACCCCATCTCTACTAAAAATACAAAAATTATCCAGGTGTGATGGCATGTGCCTGTAGTCCCAGCTACTCCGGAGGCTGAGGCAGGAGAATCCCTTGAATCTGGAGGTAAAGGTTGCAGTAAGCCAAGATCATACCACTTCACTCCAACCTGGGCAACAGAACAAGATTCTGCCTCCAAAAAAAAAAAAAAAAAAAAGGGAAGAAGAAGATTCAGTGATTCAGGCCAGGTGCAGTGGCTCATGCCTGTAATCCCAACACTGGAAGGCTGACGCAAGAGGATTACTTGAACCCAGGAGTTTGAGACCACCCAGGACAACATACTGGGACTGCATCTCTACCAAAAAAAAAAAGAAAAGAAAAGAAATTAGCTGGGCATGGTGGCACATGCATATAGTCCCAGCTAGTCAAGAGGCTAAGGTGGGAGCCCAAGGAAGGTGAGGCTGCGGTGAGCTGTGGTTGCACAACTGCACTCCAGCCTGGATGACAGAGTGAGACCCCATCTGAAAAAAAAAAAAATTTTTTTTTAAGATTCTATGATTCATTCTGTGTATATTCAATCCATATCCTCCATGTGTCAGGCACTA